CGTTTACAAACACATTTAAAATAAATTTATTTAAATCGCGTGCTAATACAACCGTTCAGTATATAAAAGCAAACAATTATTCGCTTCGGGTTTATCGAAATAAGTGAAGTTGTGAGGAGAAAAATTATGTAAATCACCGATAGAATACCGAGGGAGGTGCGATAATGTTCAGATAAGGATTGTGCTCTGTAAACCTTGTAGAGGTTCCCAAATTAGGCATACTAATGGTCCCGTCTTATTCCTTTACGAATCGACAAATAAGTACTTATTAGTATTTTAAATGGTGAGTATATTTTTATATTCGGCTCCTGTAGATTGCGATCGTATTTTATCTAAATCGATAGCATTATTTTGCATTTTAAATAGAGAACAGTAAAATTATAATCAAAGCCATCATGTGTATGGTTGGTCAAATGAAAATTGCGCCATTTTATCTCACGCTAACTTCACTCTTCATCATCATCATTCAGGTCATCGTTAAGTTCCTCTTTAGTACGATATTTCTGAGTAAAGACGTCTTGAGTTCTCCAGATTCTTAAGCTATCTTTCCAGTAATGAGCTATAGAGGAAAAGAAATCATTAAAACGTAATTTCTTCTTAATGTTATATAGCACTGCTGTTAATGATTGTACAATAAGCATGCATTGCAAAGCGCAATCCGCTTTGTAAAGCAGTATAAGTACGGAGGCAATTATCTGATGGACCGGCCCTTTGATGGCAGATAACAACACCAATCAGGTAATTGCACTCAGTTGAAAAAGTTAGACAATCACTGATATTTCTGTCACTACTGTTCTGTTCGTTTGTACAGGAGTTTGAAACATTTTCCAATATACAAGTGCGGTATGCAAACATTAAACATGATGAGAATAATATAGTTAAAATATATTTAAATCTATTTACTTTATAAAAGCCTACTACTGACATATAATAAAATCCACAAAAGTGTAACGATGTAACGAAAATACTCGTATTAATAATAGGCTGGTTTTAATAGACTCAATCTATGAAGTTAAACTTTGTAGGTTATTTTGCTATCCACAGAAACGCAACACGCGCTATATTTGTCAATCCAATATATCAGGTGATCTAATACGAATGGTTTGGGTAGAGTGTTAGCGATGTCTTGATTAATGTCTGACGAACAAAGTTGTAACATTCAATCGATATAATACCATTGACATCACAGGATACCTATTTGTGGTCTACGTATTCGTCATGTTCTCATTGTTGAAATACTAGTTTCGAAACATATTGTGTTCCTTGTCCTTTTCTTTTAAAATCGGAAACGACTCTATGTTAATCGTTAAAAAGTAAGCTTATCGTAAAATGTCTATGTTTGACTAAGTTTTTAGTGGACTTGTAGACCTTCTCCTTTGTTCATTCAAAGTTTCTAAAACCTATCAAATAACCTTTGTATGCTTATTACTCTACAATAGCAACAAGCTAACTATCTATATGCACCTGTTTCTCCTCTATGAGTAGCTAAAAAATCGTGTAATGAAACTTTGGTATAGAAATTTAGTTCTGTGAAAGACTACAGTATGTTCGTATAAAAAAAATGATTTTACAAAATTAAACTTTAATATTAATCAACTCACAAAACGACTAAGTACTGATGCTGAAAGGTTATTATAAACGAAAAATGAACGATATTTGAATTTAAAAGCGAGGAAACTTTCCCGGGGAGAAATTTAAATGAGATCCTTTACTTGGATTAACCTTCCAACATTTGTGTAATACGGAATAAGCATACGTATGTTATTAAAAATAGACCCGATTAACGATGTACCCAGGTGTAGTCCTTGCGAGTTTCTGCTAATTCATATAATTAGATCGAAATCCAATTAGCGGAGTTTAATCACGACTTTTGCCTTTTTATCCTATTTCAGTAAAAATAAAAATAGATGATAATACTTTATATACGGCTAGTTATTGCAGGAAAATTTCGAGATATTTTACAGAAAGGTACTTAAAAACTTGACTTTAGAACCCTTTTCCACTAACCGTTGGTTTCTGAGACCAAATCTCTGTATAAAACATATCGTCATCCCTGTCATTATCTTAAAAAAAACAGAGATAACAATATGGTTTAGAGGGATTTTAGTTTCAGAAACACACAGTTATTGTTGGATGGTGTCTAGCTTTTGTTGTATTTGGGAATTCAAAGATGCGTCTCTACTTAAAAAAAGCATTGAAAAATATTGTTATATAGTATGACACTTAAAAGACTTTCTAATATTACATTATAAAATGCCTTTTCTAGAAATTGATAGCTCATTCGAAATACTTGATACAAATATCAGAATAATTAGAAAACACGAGGAGTAAAAGCACATTTTCAATCTTAATTATTCCGCGTAGTGATTTAAAAAGCTCGCATGCATTTTTATTTGCATCTGATATTTCTCTTTTACCTGCAATTAATATTAACCTGGATTTAATATTTAGAAGCAGTATTGGTTTTGTTTACACAAACAACTTTGAACTTCATCAGCTCACTGTACTATACCAGTCCCCACTAAGGGTTCGAAGCATACCCTAATCTAAGGGTGACTTGGCCATAGTCAACCACGCTGGCCCATTGCAGGTTGATTGACTTAACTTGAACTTGCTAAACGAAATTGCTTAAAATATTGGATCAATGTAACCTCTATCAATCACTTAGTGTTGACCCTTATGGTAATTGACATAACTATACTCGTATGTTGATTGATGATTTCAATATTATATATTTTGTGTTAAGTAACATAGTGAAATTTTATTTTTAAATTTTTAAATAAAAAAAAGCGTCAATAGCCTAATGGTGAAGGGTACGGATTTCCGACCACGAGGTCGGGGTTCGAATCCCGCCATTCAACTATTGTCGTAAACCATATCCTACATATACTACATAGCACAAGCCTAGAGCTTAGTTGGAATGGTTAAAGAAATATTAGTAAATTTACAAAAAAAACTGCTAATATTTTCAGAAAAAAAAATTAAAATGACGCACTTGATGTATTGGTAATGAAGATTCATAGTTTGTGATTATAAATTCTTATGGTAGGGTTCTGAGGGCAAAATCCAAGTTGTTTTTATGTTGTTATATATGTCTTGTATACGATATAGTTGGGCTAGTCGATATTAGAACTAGACAATGGAATATATATGAATACCGGTATATTAGCTATCTTCCATTCCAAGTCTCGTCAAAATCTATCCAGCCGTTTCGGAGATTAAACGGAACAAACGCGGCCTAGCGGACACACAGACAGCATAGATTATTTTTATTAATATTTAATTAACAAATTATATTAAAATCATAATAAAAGACCGTACAAAAAACCTCCATTGACACATCGATCGTTCCAGTTTCACGGCATTGTCTTTTTTCACGTTCTCCTAAAAATACACAGAGTCCAAATGTCTTTCGTCTCTCAATAACAACTCCAGTAGACTAAAACAAAGCGAGTAGAAATGGAATAATGAATGTGAATGCTGATATAAATTCCTAATGTGGACACAAAGTGAATCTTTAATTTGGAAACGTTCAATCTTTTAAACAGAGGGTGCTCGAGTACAACAAAATCAACTTTAACTTCAATTTAAAAGAGGATTTTTCATACAAGTGTCTCTCCGTCCTGTCAAGGACCATTTTTTTCGTTGCCAATTTACATAGAATTACCGTAAAATTTTCTCATTATCTTTTAATTAGGATCCTGGGACATTCGTGCTTCGACCTAAAGATTTAACATAAGGAAAACACCTGAAGCTGTTTAATGAAATTCGAATTCATTCTAAAATACGAATAATTTAAGGATGTAAGTATGCATATGTATATATAATTAGTACATATAAATGTTACAAGCATTTCGTTTGCTCAATTTCTTTTATATCCCTTCCATTGTGACCTGAAGCCTAATCAATATGACGGATCATATTAATCGATTCATGTCTCCCGGATAATCAGTTGAGTTTATTTATTTTTCCACTTAATTACTAGGTTGTTAAATGATTTGTCATTATCAGTAATAACAATATCGTTCGTAAAACAGTCCGCGATGAAAGCATTCATCAATAGCAGTCCCGCGGCCCGGCTTAGTGCCGACAGAGCCGCTCTATTCATTTATCACGGCCAGACGCGTCCGCAGCGCATTTATACACGGCAAGCGCTGAAGCGCTACAATTCACCGTACTCCACCAGAACCGCCCATTTGTTTGATTGAAACGTTCCAGCGTTTAAGCGCTTCAGATTGATACAGCGCTGTATGTTACAATTCAGGCAATGTACACACGCCTATAACCAACAACGGATTAAGAATAATTAGTACGTCGTTGTTTATTGATCATCATTTCCCTGCCCTTGTCGCACTCTACATGGTATCTACAACAACGCATCTAAGGGCGTCGATGAACACCTTGGTGTTCCCGCTGCTCGTTTCCCCCTTTTCTTATTTAAAAAGAAAAAACTGAATTTTGATCTCCAAACCGATATATTAGTCATTTTAGTTTACTAAAATTATGATGAATACAAAGTTATCCCTAACTTCACTGTAGGTAGCCTTAATCTATAATTGATGTCCGTCCATTGTCCATGGACATGACTGACAAGTCAGTATGACGGCCATACCAAGGCATGACTTGACCGATCCACGTCAATATTAACGTCCCAGACTATGAAATGGCCACAGATCAATGATAACATAATGGATTATTGTTCAGTACGACAACAATTTACGAATGGACCCATTTGTTATTTTAGTCTGTGACATTCTGAAAGGAAATGGTGTTAGATTTATTTTGATTGATAGAACAATTTTCGTTGAACTTGTGTAATGACTAATGTCCATTTAATTCCTTCCAACTAGTATTACTTTTTTTTAACCAATTATTTACGTTTTTAATATATGTTGACTATGGTTAACGGCGCGTGAGTAACTATACAGAAACAGACAACATAATATGTATGTACCCCAGGTTTGTGTGCGTGTTTGTATGTGTGTGTAAAGGTGACGTACCTCCGGAGGCGGCGAGCAAGCCATGCGCGCGCAGCAGCGCCAGCAGCAGCAGCGGCAGCAGCGGGCGCCGCCGCATGCCGCGCGCCCCCGCNNNGCCCCCGCCCCCGCCGCCACGCCCCCCACACCCGCGCCGCGACGCCCGCCCCCGCGCTCGCCCTCACCTGTAGACAGGACAACATATCAAATACAAGTGACATTACGTGAATATAGTTAAAAGTAAGTAAAATAATAATACTTAAAAATCCATCAACAATATACAACAGTCAAAACTTAAGTGAAAGATCCACTATGATTAACTTGGTGATACCTAGAGTGGATCAACTTCTTAGCTCTCTGTAATAATTCTACCTCAATATTTGTTTTACACTCCCGTCTAGATGCAAACAGCGCTGAGTTTGTACAGTCAGCGGCGCAAATCACATCGCCAACACAAACATGAGGTGAGCGCCGCACCGCCGGGAGTTGCTCCTTCCAGCAGTGTGGTCCAAGACGACGATGCAAATTAAATTGAATATGAATCTCGACAAAGTAAACGTTTACTTTAATTAAAGTTATCTATAGTTTTATTACATGTAGAAATTACGATATTTTCTTGCCGAAGCAAATACGTTTTCATCCCATCTGACAATAAGTCGGTACGAGACATACGAGGACGAGACGAGTCATACGATTCTATTTTACTCTAATATTAACTATACGCAATTCGTATTACATCAATCAATTTCCTCGCAAGAATTTCCAGATGAAATGAGTATTTTAAATCCCATGTTCTTTTTTTTCTTAGCCAACTCGCTCCGCTCCAGTTAAACTTGATACAATTGTCTATCGTAAAAGATGAAATTCGAAGCGCCCACTCGATTAAACATCCCCCTACCTGTCCGTAATGCACTCACGTGTAAATAATTCCTTTTTACTTATAGACACGGGAATCATCATACAATTTGTATTTCAATTTTCTTATTTGATTAATTTAGTCACCATTTTAATTAATATTCTTTGCTAATACAAGGTATTGATTCTCTTTATAAATAGTATAAAAATAAGTAGTTTTTAACTAAGGTTCATAAGAAAAAGATAAAACCACGCCACAAGAGCAGTTCTTCAGATCGGCATATTTTTATTGTTGAAAATTCGTAACTCACGAATAGAAAACTTTCATTCTATACATCATTATTTTCGCAGTACAAAAGTTTAAAAAGTATTAATGTATTTTTTTCAATAGTAATTTAATTGGATTCGTTGTGTAAACGCGAAAGCTGGAGAATATCTGTAATTACAACAGAAGTCGGAAGTTTGCTATTAATGCTGATAATCTCGCCTTTTTTATCGTTTGTTCGTTGACTTCACGAGTTCGGCGAGATAATTATACAAGTTTCTGGAAGGGAATCGAAACAGAGATCGTAAAAAGGAATACTCGAATGTGCGGTCGTTACGTTTAAATGGAAAAGTTTAATTATCACAGAGTAAGGAATTAATTATAATCAACCTTTAATAAAGCCGTATTTCTCTGATAAGAGAATAAATGCAGTTTTTTAATGAATGCTTACTTCGTAATAAGATATTATCAACGATGAAAATGCATTGCTTAGGACTTGTCGCCATCACCAAGTGACGACATTGTCAAAGTTCGACGATGCATTGCATTTTATCGTGACGTGCGGTGACGTCATGTTATGGTGATAAACGAAACTAATTGGTGTTATCAATAATGCCTTCAACAGTTAAAAATAAAGAGTATATAATATATAGAATTCTATATATATGTACATCGATATTACATACACAAATTCCAAAATGTGAAACCCCGTGAAACGCGCGCCACATAATATTATTCAGAAAGCAAGCTTCGACAGCGCTATTAGTAAATTGGGTGGTCTTGTCATAGTAGATTTTAATGCTCGTAGCACCTAGATAATTGCGATCGAAATACATTAAAAATTAAACAGAAAAAAGGACATTTTTACTTAAATGGATTTGACAGTCTTCAAGCCATAAATCCGTTCATAAAACTTTGTAAACGAATCTGGGATACTATAAAATCTCAACATAAATACTATTAGGCCGTATTTCTAAATAACAGTTACAAAATAAATTTGTAAAAACAAAACGCTACTGTAAAACAGCCTATAAGTATCTACTCGAACCTTTCAAGACTTTCATTACAAGTTCCCCCAATTCTCTTACAATAACAATATTTTATTCACAATTTTCTTATTAGCCTTCACAATATCAGCTTAGTGATTTTATTTAAATAATAAAAGCGAACGAACGGCGAGCTTCGGCTCTTTTGTAAACAGTCTGCGTGTTTTTGTAATCGTCTACAATGCTCTTCGGAGTTTTTTTTTCAGTATTAACTTTATAAAGGTAAATAAGAGAGACGTTATAGTATATGCATACAGTTTCAGTTATTATACATTCTAAGACTTCGTGAATTGTTTCCATTGTACAAAACAAAATCCATTGTGAAGGTGATAGAATAGAGTTTTAAAATATTTGAAAGATATTTTTCCTTTTCGCAAATAAATTAACATAGTATAAAACATAACATTGAAAAGGTAGAATAGTTTAAGTTGCTACAACTTATAAAAATCTCTGCATTTATATTCATTTTAAACTTTCTATATAATACGCAGCAGCTCTCTATATAATTCTATGATTTAAACGTTAATATAATCTCATACGCTAATCCTTTAAAGCCAAATCAAAATGAAAATCGCTCAAAGCTTGTTTTAATCGAACTAAAAATAAATCAACGCATTTCACATTTTAATTGAAAACGAACGGAAAATATTCAACGGAACGAGATTGAAATGAATCAATTAAAACATATTTAAATTAATCATGAAAGAGTTTAATATTGGAGAAAAAAGTATCAAAAGAAAGTCGAGAACAAATCAAACTGTTCTAACCATGCACTAAAATGTAACGAGAACGGTTTTCTTTACCTCATCTCTCGTGTCTTTTTATATAGTGCTAATTTATTATTATTTTATACTCAGCATTAACATCTTTAGAAGCAAATAGGGCAATCTTCGTCAGCTCAAATGCGTTGCCACCAAATGACTCGAGCTCACCCACCCATACACATCCATACGCAAGACCTTTGTGGTATACTCTAGCCCAGTACGATTTGGTTAACGTCACACATATCTTTAAATTTCGGTCTGAATATACAAATACTAGTAAACTTAAAGTTAATGAAACAGTGAGAAGTATCATTGTATTTTAAAGAATCAAAAGTTGCTGGAGCTAATTAAATTCATGAGTCATTTTGTTCAGTAATAAAATCATCTGAGCGTAGTTCGTTTTAATCGCTAAGTGTGATCGTCTTACTGTAGACTGTAGAATGAGAAAGCGAAGTTTCGCTAATAACAAAGAGTAATTGGCGAAACTTCGCTCCAAGTCCGGTTGTAACTTTGATGACGTCACGTTTTTATCTCAATTAAAATGCGCTTTTTCCCATCTTAGGATAACTTAAAGAATGGGAATCATTAAATGTACTATTTTCTAGTTAAACGTTTTATAAATTTCTAGCTGTCGCCTGCGACTCCGTCCGCGTGGATATATAAAAAAACTTAATTAGTGTAGCCTATGTGTTCTTTCTGACTATTTTCTGTACGCATGCCAAATTTAATCGAGATCCGTTCAGCCGTTCTAGAGTTATCTTCAAACACCGATCCATCCATTCACATCACATCCATCAAATCATTCGCATTTATAATATTAGTAAGTTAAATAAAAAGCAGCTCTTCAAGGCATTAATTCGAAAAAAATAAAATAAAAAATTAATAAGTAGTATTCTATGTCCGTCTCCTGGCTCTAAGCTACCTCCTCACCAATTTTCAGCCATATAGGTAAAGCCGTTCTTGAGTTATAAATAGTGTAACTAACACCACTTTCTTTTATATATAGATTAGCAAGATTAAGGAAAAAATATTTATAATCGTAAAAGTGTCAATTGAAATGACTCGTTAGCTCACTTAGCGATATCTTACATGTTCTTACGTATATATTGTTTAAGACTGTATTCCTTTACACATGTGTGATTGGTTGTGTAATTTGTTTTGGCTTAAAAACATTAAGTGCTAAACCAATGAAAAGCTTTTTTTTTACTACCACGTTACCTTTGACTTGTCTATCGGAGTGAAGGGCGGGATAGTTGTGAATAATAAAAGTATTTACATAGCAACATTAGCGGGCAGGCTGGCACACCACACTGCGCATGCCGCGCCCTCTACAGCTCAACTAAAACATACTTCCATTTTAAACACAAACAAAGCGAACAGTTCGCGATTTCAATGCGGTTTTACCTAACTTTCATTCATTTTGTACTGTGAAAACATTGGTTGTTCAACTGTTAACATTTAAAGCATTTAGTAACTAGGTACATATACAGCATATGGAAATATACGATATCTTCTATTGATCAATTATTATGTATTATAATTTTGGAATTGGAATTATATGGCCGTGTTAGTGTCTTAAAGTGAGATTGTATGTTAAAAATCCATATATAAATATAAGTAATTACATGGTATGTTTTCATATAAAACCACAATTTGGCACTTCAATATTGATAATGTAGGAACTTTCCGCACTTCCAAAACAAATGTTTCATGCACTCTTAATATTAACACATATTTCCAAACGACTCAAACAATACCATTATTAAACAACAACGATTGAAACAATTCCAAACAAATATTTAGCTTTAAAACTTTGCTTAAAGTTTGCACACAAACCGTTAAGGTATAAACTTTTGTATTACAACGAGTTATTTTCTGAGTGATTCAACTCGAAATGGAAAACCCGGAGGAACCGCGGCTTACGATTGATAGGGGAATTATTTATTTAGGAGTTCCGTATGTCGAGGTCCGGCACCTGAACCTTGTAATTAATGCGCAAGCTGACGTTTATTGATGGTCTAGAGTTGAATCTCCGAGTTCCGAGGGAACTCACGGTCCGCTTTAAACGGGCATTTCTCAGCTGTGTTTTTTGGATTATCTATGTTGGTGCCTACATCTTCCCCTGTTTTTACTGAACTGACTCAGAAGAATAAC